ATTTCTGAAGATCATGTGACACTGAAGACTGGAGTAATGATGCTGAAAATACAGCTTTGATCACAGGAATAAATTATATTTTAATATATATTAAAATAGAAAAACATTATTTTACATCCTAATAATATTTCACAATATTACATTTTTTCCTGTATTTTTGATCAAATAAATGCAGCCTTGGTGAGCATAAGAAACTCCTTTCAAAAACATTATATATATGCATGCATGCATGCTAAAAACAAAAACGCAATGCCTGTTGAACATTTTAGCTCCACATGTGTCAGCTTCACACATGTGTTTACATTGGATCTGAAACGGTCAGAAATTTAATTTGAATTATCATCTGTTACACTTTTAACCTGCAAGCGTTTCTTTCACTCCTCCTTCCCATTCTTGCTTTGCCGCCAGGGCTTCGTGCTATCACATGCCCCTTCAGTGTGGCTGATAGGGGCATTTGGGCAGAAAGCGATTGGATTGGTGACTGCAGTTACAGTGGGGCTTCTGATTAGGAAAGTTCCCCCTTCGACAGGCGTCTCATGTGACTGGCCTACTAAACGCTGATTAGGCCTCTCTGAGAACCTCATTCATTCACGGCGCACCTGCGAGGAGAGAGGAGAAGCAGTGTTCGCCCTCTCTCTTGATCCCCTCTCTCTTTCTCTCCCGGTGGGATTTGAGCGAGTGCTTTTGGGGGATGTAGTGCAGGCGGCTCTCGATGTTCTCACGGGTGGTTTATTTCGCCAATATGTTTGGCTTGAGGAGTTCAGGTGGGAGTTACGAGAAACTCAACGAACAGTTTGATCTGGACGCGCCCTTCTTCCAGGTTTGTCTTGCAGCGCTTTGCTGAAGTCAAGGGAACGGTGGGGTTTTTCTGTTTTCAGTTTTATATTTAGAGGCATCTATGACCTTCTAGATCTAGAAAATGCAATGTTGAGATGTGTAATATTCACCATTGCAACTTTTCCGTTTTTGTCACAATTAGATATTGCAGTACAATTGATAATTATGGGCTGGATTTTTTTTTTTATTTGTCAGCATAATAATATGTGACCCTGGACCTGTCATAAGAGTCAATTTCTCGAAATTGAGATTTATGCATCATCTGAAAGCTGAATAAATAAGCTTTCCATTGATGTATGTTTTGTTAGGATAGGACAATATTTGGCTGAGATACAACTATTTGAAAATCTGGAATCGGAGGGTGCAAAAAAATCTAAATATTGAGAAAATCATCTTTAAAGTTGTCTAAATTAAGTTCTTAGCAATGCATATTACTAATCAAAAATTAAGTTTTGATATATTTACGGTAGGAAATTTACAAAATATCTTCATGGAACATGATCTTTACTTAATATCCTAATGATTTTTGGCATAAAAGAAAAATCGATAATTTTGACCCATACAATGTATTTTTGGATATTGCTATAAATATACCCCAGCGACTTAAGACTGCTTTTGTGCTCCAGGGTCACTTATAGTGTTTGTTATTTTCATGCGCCTTTGAGATCACAAGAACTTTTAGTCTTATCAATGGCTGTGCTGTAGATTTCATGGCTTTTTCTGGTTATTCTGTTCTCATAATGTGAAAGATGACACTGATCATCATGCGATCTGGTTAATCTCAATGGACAATATCTGATGAATTATTCCACTGGACTATCTCTCGTTTCTCTTTCCAGATCCTCACATTTCCCGAGATTATTTTTGGGGATGCTTTAGAAACATTCCCACAGGTGACATGGTGTCAATAGGGATTAAAAATGTACAAAATTGGAAGTTTTCAACTAAGGAAATGCATGTAACCTGATACGTAATTTTGAATGATCTGACAATGTGTTAAAAGTTGCACCAAATTTTTGAAATAATGCAACCTTTGATCACCATCATCCAATCTGTGGGTTGATTTTTGCACTTTGCTCCACTGAAAAAATCTCATCACAATCCTCTCAAAAGTTCACCTTCGCTGACCAAGTTCTTTTCCATCTAGGTAACGCGTCAGATCCACGAACACGAGCAGGAAAATGAGCTCCGAGAGCAGATGTCGGGGTACAAACGCATGCGACGGCAACACCAGAAGCAGCTGATTGCTCTGGAGAACAAGCTGAAGGCAGAGATGGATGAGCACAGACTGAAGCTCCAAAAAGAACTGGAAACCCATGCCAACAATGCCTTCATTGAGCTGGAGAAACTTGCCAAGAAGCACGTCATCCAAACAGACAAAGAAGTGAGTGATCTTTCTTTATTCTTCTGTTGAGACCCAAAGAGTTTATAGTTACTAGCTAATAAAAAATTGGTCGATTACAAATGACATGATGTTGACTAAAAATTGTGATTTGACCAATATACCATCCAGAATGGTTATTCTGGGACTTTCACATCTTAACAATAAATTCTATAGTTTAAAATCTCTGCACAAAGTTGAAAAAAAAAAATGAGTGCACAAGTTCATGTGGATCCATGTGAAAGCTCCCCCGATTTATATTATTATTTTCCATATTGCATGCTAAGCATGTAAAAAGCCAAGGGATGAATGCTAATTATTCATGTAGCATATGTTGATTAATATGTTAATGAAGCCAGAGAAGAAAATGGGACTGTGTGGATTTTTTTGTTTGCTTTTCTCAGGAGTTTCTAACATTAAAAAAAAAATAAACAATCAGTCACATACTGAAGTTGCAATGAAATTGCATTGCTATTAATGATAAATCTGCATTGTGTTCCTCAGATGAAAACACTGGCAGCTGATGAGAAGAAGTTCCAGCAGCAAATCATGGTCCAGCAGAAGAAAGAGCTCACCAACTTCCTCGATAACCAGAAGAAACAGTATAAGCTGTGCAAGGAAAAGATCAAAGAGGTTCTTGTCTAGTTCCTACAAGCTGAAACAAAAATTGACACTGTTTACTGAAATAATATTAATATTATTCCAAAGAAAAATTGGAAAACAACTCTACTATTCAACTTACCAAGCCATCTAATTTTTAGTCCTTTCCCCTCTAACTGCATCATATTGAAAAGTCTTTATAATCCAGTTAATAAGTTGTCACTTCAGTTGTTAGTTTCAGTTGTCACTGAAAAAACACTACATTGCAAGAGTAAAATGGGTTGCAAATGCCATTTCATGTTGACTTAAAAATGGGGTATTCACTTCTTTTAATTCTTTTGTCTCTTCTCATGTTTCTTTGTTCAGGAAATGAGTGAAGACCACAGCACGCCTAAGAAAGAGAAGCAGGAGAGGCTTTCCAAGCATAAGGAGAACATTCAGCATTCTCAGGCTGAAGAGGAGGCTCAGCTTCTGGGTCAACAGAGGACTTTCTACGATAGGAACTGCAGAGCCTTCAAACGCAAGATCATTATCAAGAAGCACGAGTTTGAGCAGGAGCAGCTACGAGAGGTGGGGATGACATGCTTCAAGTCAGAAAAAAAGACTGTGCGATAAAAATGTGTGTTTAAAAGTTTTGGGGTCAGTAAGATTGTTGTTGTTTTTAAATGAATTAATAAAGACAAATAAAGAAATGTAGACTGTTACGAAATATTTCTGCTCTTTCAAGATTGATACGTTTCTTGAGCACCAAATTTCACAGTATGACTATTTTTACTGTTTTCAATCAAACGAATGCGGTCTTGCAGACTTTCAAAAACGAAACAAAAAAAATCTTACCGAGCCTACACTTTTGAACGGTAGTGTGTATGTATATGTATATATACAGGATAATCGTATGAAGGCTTTTCCCAGGGATAATGCAAAATTTGAACCGTTTCTCAGGGTTGATGACTGTTTTCAATTAATCTGATTTGAAAGTAAGTAATGCAGCAATGTGCAAATCTCTTAATCTAGTGCTTTAATCTACAGGAAACCTTCGGAAGTATTACTGAGTCTAAACCCACTCTATAAAGCAACAAACATGATGATGCATAATCCATTGGTTTGCAATCCTAGTCCAAATTTTGCATAGCTCCACTTGCATATCAACACGTTTATTTGATCACACCTTTTACTGTTGTAACCTTTGCTTACTAAGGTGAGCTATTAGTACTAGTATTATTATTATTGTTGTGCATACTTATGATTAAGGGTTTGTTTTAAACCACTAACTTTGTTTTGTAACTTTTGGGCAACTAAATCACCTGTTAACCTTAACCCCAAAGAACACCCTAACAACCTAGCAGTGCCATAGCAACCATCTTGGCAAGTATCCATATATAATAAAAGTCAGAAAACCTTAGCAATCACATGGCATTGTGGTGGCGACTTCTGTACAGGAAAACACCACTAGTTTTCTTAAGGATATGTAAAAATATTAGTAGATTTAGAAGAGACCTTATTATTTGAATAATGTAATATTGTAATGTTAATTTCTGTCTCGCTGTCTGTCAGGAGTTGAATAAGAAGAAGACCCAGAAGGAAATGGAGCACGCTATGTTGATCAGGCAAGACGAGTCGACCCAAGAACTTGAGCACAGGCAGCTGAAGACCCTACAGAAACTTCGCATGGATCTGATCCGACTGCAGCACCAAACGGAGCTGGAGAACCAGATCGAATACAACAACCGGAGAGAGAGAGAACTGCACCGGAAACATGTGCTCGAACTACGGCAGCAGCCCAAGAACCTCAAGGTACCACCAATCGTGAACGATTGCTTAGCTATATATAGTGTGAATTTAACCTACAAAATCTATGTAGGTCTCATTGTTTCTGTGACTGTGATTGGAGCATTAACTTTGTATTTTAGAAACTGGGTAGATCTTATGAACGTTAGCAGGTCAGTCGAGACCTGATGATGCTCTGACATTTCTTTATCTGAGAAACGTTTAACATTTAAACATTAATATCTTCTTAATATACAAAAGCGGTAAGACTTTACAGTCAGGTTCCATTTGTTAGTCAACAAACTGAAACTAACAATGGAAAATACTTCTAAAGCATTTATCAGTCTTAGTTCATGTTAATTTCAACATCTACTAATTCATTATTAAAATCGAAAGTTGTATCTGCTAATATTTTTCAATGGACCTGAGCTGATATGAGCTAACAATGAACAGTTCTTAATTTTTTTTCTGTGAATGTATTGCTTATTGCTAATGTTAGTTAATACATTAACATAAAGGGACCTTATTGTAAAGTGTTACCAAAAAAGCCACAGTTTGCTCCATTTCACAATCCTTCGAGGCAAAACTCATATTAGATGGTCATTTTTGTCCTGAAAAGGCTGTCAGTTTGTGTTTATTCTACTTTGAGTCTGGTCTCCTGCAGGCGATGGAGCTCCAGATAAAGAAGCAGTTCCAGGACACATGTAAAGTCCAGACCAAACAGTACAAGGCCCTGCGGCATCATCAGCTAGAGGTGACCCCCAAAAGCGAGCATAAGACGGTGCTAAAAGCCCTGAAGGACGAGCAAACGCGCAAACTGGCCATCCTGGCTGAGCAGTACGAGCAGAGCATCAACGAGATGATGGCATCGCAGGCAGTGAGTGAAGAAACAATGCTGTTAACCATTATAGAGACCAATACGTTCACATTCTAGTAGCTCTGTGAGATCATTGTAAGGAATATACACTTGGAATGTCTTTGACAAAGCATTTAACTCTTTCCCTGCCAAACACGGAATTTTCCGGGTTTCCGTATTTCCACTGTTATAAGCTCGGGGGCGCTATTACACATCTCCTGAATGAGTATAGAAATGCTCTAGAATGAGTCTAGAAAGTGCTGTAGAATGAGTCTAGAAAGGAGTCTAGAATGTGCTCTAGAATGAGTCTAGAATGTGCTGTAGAATGAGTCTAGAATGTGTTGTAGAATGAGTCTACAATGTGCTGTAGAATGAGTCTAGAAAGTGCTGTATAATGAGTAGAAATGAGTCTAGAATGTGCTGTAGAATGAGTCTAGAATGTGCTGTAGAATGAATCTAGAATGTGCTGTAGAATGAGTCTAGAAAGTTGTAGAATGAGTCTAGAAAGTGCTGTAGAATGAGTAGAAAGTGCTGTAGAATGAGTCTAGAATGTGCTGTAGAATGAGTCTAGAAAGTTGTAGAATGAGTCTAGAAAGTGCTGTAGAATGAGTAGAAAGTGCTGTAGAATGAGTCTAGAATGTGCTGTAGAATGAGTCTAGAAAGTGCTATAGAATGAGTAGAATGCTGTAGAATGAGTAGAAATGAGTCTAGAATGTGCTGTAGAATGAGTCTAGAAATGTTCTAGAATGAGTCTGAAAAGTGCTGTGGAATGAGTCTAGAAATGTTCTAGAAAGTGCTCTAAAATGAGTCTAGAATGTGCTGTAGAATGAGTCTAGAAAGTGATAAAGGCCTGTGCAAGCTTTGGGAGTGCTAATGGAAGCCATCTACTGCATCTTTGCTTTGATAATATTACTGAATATGATCCAGATGTAGTATTTGATAAAAATGCGATTTTATCAGCTTTTTGCTCAAAATATTGCTTTTTTTAAGAAACCTACCTACATTCAAGTGTTGATAAAAAAAATTATGCTTGAAGCTAGAATAAAACAGATTTTTTTAGTTTGAAAGTAGAGGGTATGATCTTTGTTTTGATGTATTGCATGTTCAGATATTCATACAACAAAATATTCTGGGGGCCATGAAATTTTAGTGAAAATCAGCAAAAACACTGGCGGGGAAAGAGTTAATGTTCATAATGTGACATTTTTGAGAGAAAAAGGATAAATAGTGGATAATAGTGTACTGTAGTGATATTTGTAATGATGTTTGCTGAAGTGCAGCAGTCAGGTTCTGGAAGTAAATTCTCCATTCATTTACTATTTTTTTACTACTTATAAACCTGTACAGAACTACTGTTCTGAGGTATATGCTTTTCTTGAAGCCATCCATTTGCATTATTTCAACTTGTTTTTTAAGTAGTTCTTTGACAGCTGAATTTGTGGTGGGAAACGACATTACCCATAATGCTATATAGAAAATTCCACCAACCAGTGTCATAGCAAATTGCACCAAAAGAGCTCTTTAAGGAAATCTTTCTCCCGTGACATAATCGAGTCTGTCTCAGATGTAAATATTTAAGTATGGTCTTGTACCATTTGTCAGATTTTCAAATACTTTTTTGCTTTAAATAAAAGTTTGTAATGTTATAATTCACCTTATAGCTGGTTGGCTTGGTTAATAATACTTTAACCAAGACTTTTTGAAATCCTTATGGGAAAAATGAATGAAAAAAATATTTCGGGAATCAATGCTGCTGAAAAAAGTAGGCGGGCACTAATGCACTCTTATTAAAGTAAGGGTTCATTTGATTTCAGGATATCTTTAAGATGCGAGTTACGTAATCAGATTACACAAACCGGCAATAATTAAATATGTTAAATAATATCATTTATGTATTTAATCCCATTTTAGGTCTTTGCTACTGACCTTCGATGATCCAGTTCAACCATACTAAGCAAAAATGATACATTTGTGTTTCATTTGTGTTATTGCTGAAGTGTTGAACTTTATTCTCCTGCGTCATATATTTTCAAAATATATAGTGTGTGTGTGTGTGTATTTATATATACATAATAAATATACACAGTACACACACATATATTATGTAAACAAAAACTTTTATTTTGGATGTGATTAATCGCGATTAATCGTTTGACAGCACTACTTAAAAGCAAACAAGCAAACCCTGCCCAGATTTAAAAAGTAACGTAATGCATCACTTTGCATAAAAAGTAACTAAGTAATGTAATTAGTTACTTTTTTTAGGGAGTAACGCAATATTGTAATGCATTACTTTTAAAAGTAACTTTCCCCAACACTGTTTATAAGCCATTTTGGAACAGCTAATGTGAGCATTTGTTTTGTTGATAGTTCATACAGATTTAAAAGTTAACATAAAGAAAAAACGGAGGCCTCCTGTTTGAAATTCCAGTCTCGGCTCGTTGCCTGTACAAGAAGGCCATTGATGGTTAACCGCAACTGTGCTGTAGTGTGAGGCTCACGTGCACTCGTGTGTGTTTTTGTGCAGCTCCGTCTGGATGAAGCTCAGGAGGCCGAGTGCCAGGCTCTGAGGCAGCAGCTGCAGCAGGAGATGGAGTTACTCAATGCGTACCAGAGCAAGATCAAGATTCAGACCGAGGCTCAGCACGAGCGCGAGCAACAGAAACTGGAGCAGAAAGTCTCACTGCGCCGAGCACACCTTGAACAGAAGGTCTTGTCCTGTTATTAACCTCTAATGAACCCTGACTCTAACTTGTTTATCATCAATAGTGGTCTGCCAATATAGGTTTTTCAATGGCCAATCTACATCAGTCATTTACAGTACATCAATATACACTACTGGTGAAAAGTTTGGGATCAGTAAGACTTTTTTTTAAAGATGTTTCTTCTGCTCATCAAGGCTGCATTTATTTGATCAAAAATACAGAAAAAAAACTGTAATCTTGCAAAATGTTATTACAATATAAAATAATGGTTTCTATTTTAATATACTTTAAAATATAA